GGAAGTGCCTGAGGCCAACTTCCAACCTTTGGAAGTAAGAAACAGATAAAAGTAGAGTCGGGCAGTCAGCTGCACTGGTGTAGCGTGAATGCCCAGTCCCAGGTCGCCTTCATCACCTCCGACCTTCACACTCCGTAGCTGGCCCCTCAGGACTGAGCGTGAATCCCTTTGCCTTTTGCTTAGATGTCTTGGATGATTATCAGCTTGGATTCGTAACTGCTGTGCATTTCAGCCATTGAATCATTCTCTGGTATTTAGGGTGCAAATCATTTAGAAATTAGTGCTCAGGTTGCTCCTGAAAGAGAATTTAATCCATAATGGATTACCTCAGTGACTTCAAACACAGAACTCATCACTTCGGCGTGTAATCGGTGTTCAGTGAAAGCCAGTTTCTTCCCTATTAACAACATCCACTGTCCTCGCCGTTGTATGGATTCACTAGATTCTGTGGGCTGTTCTGGAAGCCCCATCATTGCACACCTTGGAGGGGGGAGTGGGAAGTCCGTCCTGCAGTATCCACGTTAGAAAATGTGCAAAGATGACATAGTCTGTGTCTGTCTTACTCAAGCCCTGGGCATGGCACCAGTAGGACGCACACGAGTTCTACGGGTCCTTGCTGCACACACTTCAGAATTCAGACTTGAGCTTCCTGCCCCACTGCCCACACCACTTACATGGTGTCCGGCATGTTTCATCGCACAGAACTCATCGCTTTCCCTGCTTCTCTTTTCCTGCCATATCTCCCCTTCCCCACTCACATGCTTTCCCAGTGCATCGCACAGAAGGTGCTTTCCTGGAGCCATGGGCTGCCTCTGTATCTAAGGCATGTCGTCGTCATCTTCCAGGAGAATTTACACGTGCCCGCATCACACTGTACTTCTTTGTGTTGTTGCACTGTAACCAGGGAAATCACTGTTGTTGCTATTCACAAACCTAAATATCCATGATGCACTTCAGTAGAAAATTCCCCTAAGAGAGGGCTCGGGATTAGACAGCATCTGGTCACAGCCTGGTCTTAGTGCTGCGTGAAGTAGCAGTGATCCGAGATGCTGCTTAGTGAGCTAGCAGGAAGGCCAGGAGAGCCTGCCTGGAGAAATGCCACAAGAGAATGAAGAACATGAATTTAAGTAGGAAAGGAGAGGCCAGATAACAAAAGGTCAGGTACTTTATGCTAGCATGTCTTTTATTCTAAGTGCCAGAAGTCATGTCCGATCTTGGCTGCTGGCCGGGAGAGGGGCTGTGGGCAGCGATGGCTCTGGGTAGTGTGGCAGTAGATGATAGCAGAGGATGGATGTAGGGGACCAGGAGTGGACAGAAGTTTCAGTCCACTTCAGCTATTTTGAAGGCAGTGCGGGCCAGACTTGTGACTGGATTGGGTTCAGAGGCGTCAAGAGAGCTGTCTGGCTTGGAGCATCCGATCATAACTGATTCCTTTCCTTTGGGACATGGATTCTCTTAAGTACTTTCTACTTTCAGAAGTCACCAGGACAGTGTTGCCCATTGCTATGTTGTACCTTCTTCCATCTCTGTCACCACCCACACTGGAAGTTTCCAGATACCAGTCAGGCGAACTTTCAACCAGATTCTGCAGTCCACCTGCTTTCATTGACCTGCTTTGGCTGACCAAAGACCAAGCTATTTCCACACAGTTTATACAGCGAGAAAGAGGGGTGCGACGACACGTCTCCCCCCCACCCCAGGGACAGGTCCTCCCCTTGCCACGGCACGCTTGTGTTGGAAAAATACTATGCATGCACTCATAGTCGCCCAAGTGTTGCTCCATAATCTCAGCTCTGTGTCCCATTCTGTGTGGCCTGGTACGTGGCCGCCTTGCAGGTTGGTAACTGCAGGCTTAATTCCCACCCCACATAACTAAATGTGTTTTAAACAGTGATAACAGTGTACTTTAATGCCATAAGTGTCTTCATAATGATCTCTCTCATATCTGCACTGTAATGAGGCACTTTCCTTTCCCAGTGAAAGTGGTGATGCAGAAGCTCTCGGAGCACCCAGGTCTTTGCTCCAGTTTGAGTTTCCAAGTGTGACTGCCTCTGTCACATTGAGCTGACCAAGTTGTTCCCTGTGCCAGCGTCAGGTCTTTGCCAGTCAGCCTCCAGAGCCGTGCACTTCTCAGTACTGGAAAGAAACAGTGTGCACAGGATGGGAGATCCTTAATTTTAAGAAACATTAGCAACCTATTGAAATAATCAGTCTAAGGTTTTCATTGCATTGACTCTGATAATATGTTTCTATGAACCATACTTCTTCACAAAGGGAATTAAATTTCCTTTGAGAATCACCATAGACTTTGAGAGGCCAGGAATGATTTATTTGCTTTGTGTCTAAGATTAACTAAGTTAAGAATGGAAAAATACTATTAGGTCATAGGAGACTGTTCCCAGCCCTGCTGCAGGATTATGTGCTGCAGTATATTTCCTAATCTTTGTTCTTTTTAATAACATTCTTCCTGTATTCATTTGAAAGTCATTATTCCAAAATATTTCCATGAAATTACACTATCAAGCATGATGTCAGAGGGAGATAAGTCTCTAATGTTGGTTTTATAATACTTGCCAAAGTTTATTATTTTTAAATACTGAGCAGTGTTTATTTCTTTAAAATGGGACAATTCCCCTAGTCCTCAGCAAGTTTAAATCACAGCAGTATTTTATTTGAGTAACGTTTACTATTATTTTTGGAGTAGTGGTATTTTGTTTGGAACCATGGGTCATCTGTCAGATGTACTTTCTAAAGAAATTAGAATGTACCTAAGCCAATGGTCAGGCAGGTCACGGTTTGTTTCTTTTTATGGTTTCCCATTTTCCTGTAAGAAAAAACTTCTGTTATGTAGAGACATAACAAATTTATATTCTCAAGTAGTTTGGAGATGTACTTCTACATCTGTCAAACCAAGCGTGGTGGTGCACAGCTGTAATCCCAGCACGTGGGCAGCTAAGGCATGAGGATGGCCCCAAGTTCGAGGCCACCCTGGGCTGCACAGTGAGTTCAAGGCTAGCATGAACTTCATAGCGAGACCCTGTCTCACACAACCAAAAATCAGCAGATAACATCTGCATGCATTCAGAATTTCAACAAGATAATGCAGCTAGGATTTAATTGTTCACTTTCTCAAAGTAAAGCTGCACTCATAAACTGTAACTAGGTAAGAGTCTGAATCTGCCAATGTGTTGGTTATTATGTGTATCCTTTACACATTAGTGCATGGTGCCACTGCAAGATTCTCTTCTCAGCCCATAGCATGTATGCTTTGTATATTCTCAAAAGAAGTTTGCAAATCAGAGGGCTTTAAGAAAATATAACTAACTTCAGCAACAAAATAACCCCAGTGTTATGAATCACTTTGGTTGGATGTGTATATTGTCTTACTAACAGTCTGCAGTGGAATAATTACTTAGATTAATAAGTAGTACCCTTTTCAGCAACCCGGACAAAGTCTGCTGATTTGCTGCTGTGGAAGCGCCTGGCCCATCAGGGCCTCCAGGAAGTCCCATGTCCTCAACGCAGTGTCTGCTTTGCACCAAGCACCTTTAGGCCTCCCTTCCATCCCACCTTTGTATACTCCTCCTCTGCATCCTAACTTCAAGCTTCCACAGTGCTCATCTTTGCCCTGTGGGCTCTGCCATACCCTCTTCCAACCTTCCAGCCAGCCCTGTTGGAGCTGATAAACTTCTTTGCTTTACACATGACCCACCCTCCGTGTTCATTACAGCAGCAGAAGACAGCAAAGACAGCCTCTTTCTGGGCAGCCTTTCAGGACTTGAGGAGGCAGCCCTGAACTAGGCTGGGTACAGACGGTGCAGCTGAGTACAGACAGTGGCAGGTGGAGCGGGGTGCAGATGGTGGCAGGGTTAGGAGCTTGAGAGGGGTCGGAGCTCGGGGAGCCAGACGTCCCAGCCTGGAGTCAGGGTCACTGTGACCAGCATGGGGTCGGGTTGCCAGAGGACAGGAAACAGATGCGAGGCCCAGCCACAAAGCAACTGGATGCCGTGCGCTTTCTGTGGGGCCAGAAGGTTCTTACATGTTTCCTCCTGGATCCTGTCCAAGAACCTGGCCAGGGCGAGTCTGTGCAGAAAAGCAGATAAACGGGAATGCGGGGAAGGGGAAGGACGGACTGAGGGACACACACCAGGACAGACAGCCAGGATTCCGCTGGGCTGTGCTCACCCACAGGACTGTCCTTTCCCGCAGGAGGGGACACCTCCACTCCTCCCTACCCTGCCTCCCAGGCCAGCTCGGCCTCTGAGTTCCATAACAACAGTACCACCACCCGAGCCGCTCAGCAGCGCTGCGTGCAGCCCGGTGTATGCAACCTTGTTTTGTGTGTCATTTCCCCCAGGACGCCCACCCCCGGGAAAAGTCACACTGCACTGCTGTTTCCCAGAGTTCCTCCCTCCCGTGTCATACTCTGCTCAGACAAATGCACAGAGTGCTGTGTCTGCAGTGTTTAGTGTCCAATGACACAGGACCGGGTAATTTTATCTGAGATCGTTATAATAAAATTCTACCACCAATTTCAGCGGTAGAATGAATAGAAGGCTTCTGTACTCAAATATAGTCATTCCCACATGGGAGATGGGAAAAATCGGAGCAAGAAACTCGTCAGTGGTGATTAAAACATTTCTCTCTGACCAAGTAGTAATTGTCCCAACATTCATATAGCTATTGGCAAACCCCATAAAGAGTTAGGAGACTCCCGTTACCCACAGCTAGGAGACACTTCAGGAGGTGCTAGATGACAGATGTGTGTGCCCAAAGCCAGCCAGACCGGCTCGGTGTATTTCTGTCTTCTATTTGTTTCAAAAAAATAATTACTAGAAATACAAAAGAGATGAGACACATATTTAAAATATAGATTAAAAAGACAAATATTTAAATAATTATAAGTGGATCCAAGCCCCTATAGGATGCCGGAGGGCTCTGTGTCTAGTCTGGTAACAGGCGTCTGGAGGGCAGTGCCGCCAGGGCACCTCCTTGCTTACCTGCGGGCAGCGTATTCGAGCTGCAAGTAGCTGTGTGTCCAGCTCTGGAGGCTCTGTCCAGCCTGCACCAAAGCAGCACTCACAGAATGGTCAAGCACCTAATGAAATTTCTAACAGGAAGCTGCAGGTGGGAGCTGCTGCCCATGGTGCCACCATTCGGTTAAAAGTGATACAGAATCAGCTAAGGCCGGGCAAGCCTTGGGCCAGTCTTGGAGCCAGACTCAATAATACTAAAACAGGAGCAACAGCAATGCCACCAAACAAAACTGACTCATTCTGAGACTGCTAGAAAGGGGGAGGCCTGGGAATTTCTTTGACAATGAACCTTACCCAAAACCTATTTTCTATTTGGGATACTAAGCACAGTATCCTGTTCCCACAGTTGGCCAGCCATTTAACTGTTTATTCTTCTTTGTACTCAACCTTTAAAATCTCTGCTTTTGCTTTGGTGAAATATATATGTATCTGTGAGGTTCAATAATTGTATAATTTTATACATAAATTTTCATATTTCGAGCACATGACCAGAAAGTTTTTAGTATCTGGGATTATCCTGTACTTATCTACTTCAGAATTCTAAAATGCTTGGTGAAGGGTGGCTTTGCTAGGACAGTAACTACGTAATTGTAGAATTTTCTGAAGTTTGTTCTGATAAATTTGATTAGGGAATATGAGGGCTAGCTTCTCACTTGAAGTTATAGCCTTCTTGAATTTTTTTAAACTAAAGAACTCAGTTCTATTGGAAAATTAAATTATATACTATTTTCTCAGATGTGCTAAGTCTCAGTTTATGGAGAATAAATTTTGTTATTGAAGAACTTGTCACACATTTCCTTATTTTAGTTGTGTATTTGAACTTCGCAACTCAAAGAAAAAGCATAACCTTAACACAGCCTGAAATATCCATAAATTATTTATATTGATAAACTGATTTCCAATAATATTTTCTGCCTATTCTACAAATATACTCAGTGAAGGCCGGAAAATCTTAAATAAATGGGTTTACCAAAAAATAGGAACTACAACCATAAAATCAGTGCCACTCTCTTTTCTGTGAAAATTTTCAGGAGCAGTATAATGAAACTCCTGTTTTTAACTTTGATCCAGCCACAGCAGCGTGGCCTTTAACGTGGACCCCTGGTTCTAGCTGTTAAACCTTCCCCAGGGTAAACACAGGGAGACCCCGTGCTCTTGCTGGTCCGTTTGGTCAGACCTCATGCCGAATCCATGACCCAAAGCTTAAGAGTTGATCCAGAATTCGTTAAAAGATATTTGGGATTGTTCTCATAATATTTCCCTGGAAACAAAAAAAAAAAAGTTCAACTTGTTTGCCTGGAAGGAAAACAAAGTTTATTTTAGTTTATGGTAATTTTGATTAATATAAAACATGTAAAATGAGTCATACAAAAGTTGGACTTGAAAATCCTCATTTCTGGTATCCGTGGTTTTAATATGATTCCACTTCACTTTGAAATAAGATACTTTAAGTATAATTGTTTTCTATTTATTTCTGTTCATCTGGCCCTCTGTTATCCTATCTTCCTGAATCTCCAAAGTGTTACAAGCTTTTAGAATCAGAAACAATGTCATGGGCTTTCTCCCCTTGGAGTTCCAGGAAGTTAACTCCACTCACTGCTCTGCAGGTCACCCAGAAGTTACTGTCAACTTGGGCGGAGGACACAGAGAGCCAGGCCAGAGGGGACCACTGCAGGGTCTGCCTTTGCCCAGCAGGGGCTGATCAGAGCAGGGCGTCTGCAGCCAGCTTCCCAGGCTCAGATTGTGGCTCTGCCAGTCCTGAGCTGTGAGCCTGGGCACTGTCATAATGAACGGATCTCACACCCTTGTGGCCATCCAACATGCAGGGATATGAGAGCTCCCTGCGACCTGCAGAAGAGCTAGTGTTCTCACGGTGGTTGTGTGGGTGCAGACTCGGCAGCAGAGCTTTGGAGGAGAAAAAAGGTGCATGATGGTGGTAACAGCAGTGTGGGGAACCAGGTCCCCTTAGAACACAGGGGCGGGTGGGCAAAGGAGGACCAGAAGCAGCTGCACCAGAAGACCTGGGTCCCTTGAGTGGCACCGGAAGACCTGAGTGGCAGCCCTGAGGGCTTCTCACCAGCATCATCTTCTGATCAGGGTTAAATTCACCTGTATAGTACTTGCTTGTTTCTCTACAGTAAAATCTTGGGATTCTGACCCAGGATTTCGTCCTCCAGGTAGATACTACGTGAAAAACAAAACCAGACAAACATTGTGGAACTTGGAAAAGTATTTTCTAGATTAAATCTAATGATACAGTCATTCAGAAGCAAACCCTGCAAGAAAGGAAGACCATCCCTACATTTACGAAGAGAATTAAGAGCGTCCACAGATGTGTTGTTTGGAAGGCAAAGAGATGCTTGTTACCTTTATATATAAGGTAATAGAAATAACACAAGATCTCTGCAATGTATGTGTACACATGATTTAAATCACAGGACACTGTCCCTCGTGTCTACACTGTGAGGAGACAGGAGTTACTATCATGCTGTCACATGGAGACCTGGAGGCAGGAAGCCTTTCACAAGGCTCAGTGAATGCACAGGGTCGCGCACTTAGGCAGGGGCTGCATTTTCCCAGGGGGAATTTGGGCCCTGCAGAGGGCGGAAGTTAAGAGGCCAGCAAGGGAGTTGCCAGGGCCTGCCTCATCCCGGAGCCGCTTCGCCTCCAGGGTGATAAGGCAATCAGCGCTTCTGTGAACTCAGTCTGGCCCAGAGTGTGTGCCTCACTTTCTAGCTGCCTTACCCCAGTGGTTATATTAATACCTCACATTTTCTTGGTAAGATTTAATTTGTAAGATTTAATAAACATTATCTAACCGATAAGTCTAATAGACATTTTACTTTTAAAAATGGTTCCAGTAAACATTTTAAATTTAATGACTGATACACACATGTAAAAATACCTTTCACAATTGTGTTAGGATTATAATAAAATTAAGTGAATAAAACTTTAGGAAATGTCAGGGTTTTTTTTTAATTGCAAGGAATTTAAATTTGTTGCCAAAGCCTAGGTGCCCTCTGTTCCGAGTTACAAACCTCATGCATCATAGCTCACGCATCTCTTTCCATTGCTGAGTGGTTTTCTAAATATAATCACAAAGGATGTGCTTCCTTTGTATAAAATTTCATTCTGAACTGAGCTGCACATGTGTGTCCACAGGGAAACCAAAAACACTGTCAGGAGGCACCGATTTGTTGGAAAATACTTGTGGTTTGTAGTTATAGTATACTTTTGTCCTGTCTTAGCCACCTACACCTTTGCAGGTAACTGTCATGCCATGGTATTCTGTCACCTGGCGTGCATTTTAAAGACTCAGTAAGGCCCCCCCCCCAGCGTGGTCCTCCGGATGGCAGAAACCCAGTCCTGGCTTCAGTGTGTGTGGTGCAGGGTGGGTCTGTCGGAATGGCTCCAGGGTTAGCTGATTCATAACTCCAACCTGAACTGAGGTTATGTTTGTGCCAAGTGCTATGCCAAGCCTTTTATGGAAGCCGCCCAGTGTAACCTCATACGGATCTTTGAATGAGCTGCTCTTTTTTGTCCCTATTTTTAAAATGATAAAACTTAGTTTAAATAAAAATGAGTTTATTTAACTTGGCTAAGGGCTTGCATATGTTAAGTGGAAATATATACACACACTGCTTAGGCCTTAACGCCATGTCAAGAGTTTGAAAATTAGACTGAGTAAAACAACTAAACAATATATGTATTATTAAAGATTATTTAAGTCATTATTTTGTAAATATTATTTCTAATTAATCTTTAACATAAGAGGTATTTCCCCCATTTCTCATTGATTTTCTCTTACCTGTAGCTATTAGATTCTTTTCATTAACTTTACAGGTCAAGTAGTTAATAATGTTTGAACAGGCCTTTTAATCTACCAGCTAAGCTTATTTATTAACAACAAAAATAAAAACAACCTGTTTTTCAAGGATCTTTCCCTAATTAACAGTTGCCCTTTGATCTCAGTGGAATATGTTTTAATTTCCTTTCAGACCCCTTTAGAGGTTGATTCTCTAAATAACTTGGAAGATTTATAAACAAAGAGATTTTATAGTCTCTGCCTACTTGGTCCCATTAGACTGAATGAGCTGTAAAATTCGAATTTTCTTCTTTTTCTTTTTCTAACTTAAATTTCAGTTACAGAAAATTACAAAGAACATAACAGATGTTTCCAGAATAAACTACTGTTCTGTCATTTTTTTCAGAAGTTTTGCTAGGATAACGTCACCTATGTAAATTTCTTTTTTAATATCTGTGATTATTAGGTGGTGGAGAGGATGAGCTAGAAAATGCTAACTTACAAAGCTTTATGTGTCATTTTAAAACAGCAAGTAAAAAATTAAAAACAGTTAGTTCAAAGAACTTGATGCTAAAATAATTATTTTAGAGTTTGTTGTGTGGTGTGTCCCTAGGTTTGGGCCTCAGGGGTCAGCGGCTGTTGAATCTCCCTGCCTCTCATTAATCTTTGTGCCGTTTGGTCACAAATCTGGAGAAGAGCAGCAAGAACTGAGTGTGATGAGATCTGTGACCTTGTTTGTTTTTCCACTGTGTCTAAAGCCTTCTGCAAAAATTAGCATTGATTGTGAGTTTGGTACAAAAGGGGCTGGGAACAAAGTCTAAAGTACGCATTGAATTCTAAAATTAGTCAGTGATCGATGTGCTGCCCAGTGGGGGCTGCTAAGTGCCACCCCTGACCTCCAGGCCTGGGGGAGGAGGAACCCAGCCCCCAGATCACAGGCTGAGCCCTGGCACAGTGCACTATGTGGACACGCTTCATCCTGAGACAGAGAACCGAAATTAGTCATCTCTCGGGAGTGCTCGGGTTGACCTTAGCTTAGGATTTCATAATTCACCTGTGGAACACCTAGACTCTAGTGAGAAAGGCTTCTGGCCTTGCGGACCAGAATTGTTTGTGCACACAATCAGGACCTGAAAGTTCTGGGTCTGTTCTCATAATGGGTGGCGAATTCCATTGAGACCAGTGTGGGCAAAGGCTCTGGGTCTCTGGGTGCTGCCACAGTGCTGTCTCTCAGTCCAGCTCAGGCGTCAAGCCTTGAGGAGCTGGGCAGACATGGAGGAGCGCTTGGCTATAGGCTGCCTTTTGCCTCCACCAGGGTTGATGTGACGAACTCGGTCCTCTAGCATACCTTTAAATGCCCTTTTAGTGAGCTAATTGCATGTAAGCATAATATTTTAAAAGG